GAAAGTAAACAAAGATGACAAATATTTTCCTGAAGGATGGTGGAATAGGTTTATTTTTGTAATGATGTCTATAAGCTATAAAGCCACATTTTGGGCAACTGTATAGAATTATTTCAAGTTTTAAAACCAGTATGTGTATAATGAAATCTATTAGTGGAGGAGCTTGTCCAGACATTTCATATACCTTGTGCATCATTCAGGTGGAAATATGGAAAACAGTCCAGGTCATGTTACAAATCTCAGACTGGTTATATATATTAGATGGGATCCCACCGTATGTTTATGAGAAAAAAGTACCCCTTTTTGCCTCAGTTGCTGATACAACAGAGGATTCTAGATGCTGTATCTCTGTTTGGTCTCATTGTGACACTTTGCAAATAGTGCAGTATGTTTAAGGGATTTGTACAATTATATTGCAATGCAATCATAAATTATATCTTCATTTTAGAGATTATTCATGTATTATTAACAAGACCAAAACATTCTGTAAAAAATGGAAATTTAATCTGAATACACCCCTTTCTTAAGGATAATGAGGGAAGAATTCAAACCACAAACTAAGATTCAGAGGCAATATTTCAGCTAATTAATTCATGCAGAGGCTACTTGAAATTCAGGGTTCCAAATTACAGAGATGGAGAATAATTTGGTGATATAGAATGGGAGACTAAAAATCTGCCTTGGTTTAGATCTGTGTCCTGAGATGGAATAACCAGATCTACTTATCTATTCCCTTTTTCAACACATATCGGAGGAAGACCACAAAAGAACACAAGTTTAAAACCCAAGCCAATGAAAAATTTACAGGCAAACATGCAAGTTTTATGACAGCTAAGTATGCAAAACATTACTTAAATGTTGTGTAGTACACATTTGAAGTATTACACTATACAGTTGTATGATCTATCCAGTATTTTGATGACAAAACTCTTAAATCATTCACTCATGACATTAGCTTCTATAAGGGGGACATTCTCCTGATAGTAGTGAGTGCAGTCTGTTAACATAGTTGTGCACATGCACCATAAAAGAATGATACTCTGCATAAAGTGATGAAGAGCAAATCAGGCCTCGTTAGAAAAGTGTTGGACAGCAAAAATATCAATCTTTCAGTGGACGTGTTAAATGAAAAATAAATGCAGAACGTGGACTGAATGTTCTGAAATTACAGTAGATCTGCGTCCATAAAAAAAAGAGATCTGATGAATTTACTTTTACAGCAACAGAATTTCTTGATGCAAAACTCTTAGAGTAAGAAATTTGGTCAAGGAAGGGTCAGAGAATGGCTGCCCTTTGATAGGTCTGTACTCCTATACTCTGCATATGGTTTTGCTATTGCTGCAGTAAGAGAAAGATAATGAGACTGTGATGTGTATTTTCATGTTTTATGTTATGTCCAAAAGGGCAACGGATGATTATTGATGCTTCCCACAGAATTGCTCCAGCATCCCTTACATAAGATTCATACATACCTGTTCTGCCTGTAGGATTCTTAGTTTGAGTTTTATAGATAGATTACTGGTAATCTAAAGGTAGGTAAGTATTATTTAAACTGATAAAAGATGAAGTTTTTATTATTTTATATAGTTTAATAAAATAGGCAAGCATTTGCACCATGACATATAAAGCTACAATTTCAATTGGTTATTTTTGCTTAGAAAAGCATGCTTGCACACAGAACCTTTAGTGAAGTTTATTAAACAGAGATAAAAGGTATTACATACAGTAGGGAGAAGGAACCCAGATGCTCATGTGAGAAGGAACCTGAAAAGAATTGGTAAGATAAGTATGCATTCCCTACAAAAGGTGATAGTAATTCTGCCTCACCAGTAAGCCAGCACAGGCAAGGGAGAACCAGATAAACTTCAGAGGTGCCAGCCTCTATCAAGTTCTATAGCTAATTATCAACTTCTTGAGAAGTTCCCTGTATTGCCCATTTTGATATCCAGCTGCATTTACATGCTCCATTTCTAAAGGTGATGTTCCACAATAAAATTTAGATATAAAAGTACACTAAACATTGATGATTCAATTAAAGGTGATCCTACCATAATGAAAAACCCTTTTAAAAGTACAAATTCCCCAGAATGTTTTCACAAGATATATTGTATAGTTTTGGTCTCTTTCCCACATTTTAATAGGTTTTGCTTAGAGCTGTGTAATAATTCTGGCCAGAAAAAATTATTCAGTGCATAATGGCTAAATGTTTTCACTACTATTGCTACTATCCTTTTTGCCCTGTTAGACTCGGGGTTGGGGGTGGGGGGCAGGAAGCAGTTTCCAGATTCATTAGCAGATGCACTGATCCTATCGATTCTATATCTCTTAATAAACAGGATGTTCGTGAAGGCAGTCTGTTTATATTAATTTATGATCTGTAGCAGCACTGGGGCGCTTTTTTTGAGTCCTCTCCTCATATTACCTATGAGGTTTATGGGTCTAGAAAGGATCAGAATAGCTTTAAAAGGACCATATGTGGGCTGCAAAGCCTTTCTAGGAGCCCATAGGGGTCTCTGTGGGACAATCCATATGTCTGAGAGTTTTGTCGTGCAGCAGGCATAAAACAGCATCCCTGCCTTTGAAACAGACAGAGCTATTGAGATGAAATGACAGAGATGGAAATACTGCTGTAAAAAACAGTGGGAAATAATGTGGCTAGAGGCAGAATTAACTATAACTGTACACTTTACTGTCTTTGCTAAAGGTTGGTTTTGTTGTTTTTTTTTTTTCACCTCGAGTTTCATTTCACTCTGCTTCCTTTCTCAGTTTAGAATACTGGAGTATGTAAACACTGTCTTAATATTTCCTTAATTTCAAGAAGACAAATAATGTGTGATTATTCACATGTTTTAGAATACAATGTAAATTATCAGGACCAAAACTTCTGTTTTAGGCCTTTTCTATGTTAGATAGAATATCAGTGAAAATAAGATAAAGTTTTCCCACAGGAAATTTTTTTTGAAATTGAATTTAAATTAACTCCTTATTGCAAAAATAAAACATGGATTTGTCATAATCGTATTGTCCAGTAGCCTGTTCTACAGTGCTGTTCTGTTCTACATCGGTGAGATTTCAATCTGAGTCTGAGTGCCTACTCTACAGCATTGCACTAAGACCAGGGCTTTCACTGACAGCTCTTTAGTCATGACTGCAGTCTATTTTAAATCTAATTTCTCACAGGTTTCACAGGGGAGTTTGTATGCATGTGATGTAAAAGAAACCCAAGCAGTATTATGGACAATGAAAGCATAAGCTTCTCCTTCCTGAAATTCTCCACAGAGAAGCTGCAGCAACTGCCTCTGGGTGTTCTTGGTTCTGTTTCACCACTTTGCCATCTGGGGAAACATAAGAGAATCAATACATCAGATTCTGGAGGTTATGTGTTAGAGGTTATTTCTTTTTAACAGATGAATTGTTTTCCTCTTTTTCCTCATAAATATAAAAACAGGGGGGAAATATCGTAACTAGTGACAACTGAAGTAATTAAATACTGCAGCTTTGCTTAGATACAGATAAAAAGGTTGTAAACCTTGCTTGACAGTGTCCAGTCACAGCGTGAAGGACAAATTTTTCATGGACTTTGCATTAGTGTGATATATGGTTCTCATTGCCCCCTCCCCCCCAATAAATTACCTTCATCCAGGATAAACATAAATAGAAGAAGAAGCAGTAACATTACTTGATAATTTAATTCTCCTTCACTGTGTCCTTGAAACTTCTCATAAAATATTGCAATATTTTAGAGTGAATTAATGCACAAGGTACTGAAGTACTGTGAGATCCCAATAGTTTCACAAAATTAGACAGGCATTGATTTTAAACTTTTTTTTTTTCTTCTTTATTAACATATTTCTTTGTATACAAAAGGAATTTTTATGGAATACAGCTATCTCTGGTCTTTAAAATT